GCTGACTAGCTTTCAAAGCTCAAATGGAAATGATGAGAAACTAAAGGCAGGAAGTGGGGTAAGGCTTGAACTTCTAATTGATTGTTGATTGTTTTTGGCGGGAAATGTACTCCTAATTGATTTTTGATTGTTTTTGGCGGGAAATTAACACAGGAACACAAGACAATTCTGATTGGTTCTTAGAAATTTAGTCACAGTTGATTGACGGACCATGATACAAGCAATTTATTGAATGTCTATAGACTCGTGTACACTCGATATTTGGGTGGGCGTTAACTTGTTCGCTTCGAAAACTCGTATCCTCCCGTCGAAATATCTCGTGATACACTAGACATTCAATAACCATAACATAAACACATATCCAAACCTCCTCTGCTTTTGAAGATATTGTTGCAAGGTTAATTGTGCTGTTTTGCGCATTACGTCAGATCCGACAGCTGAATAATTTTGACAACGTACGGGGATGTATGAAGAAATATCTAACACTTTTTGATGAGAGACATATTTATTTGACACATCTCCGATCACATGTATTTTATGAAAGAAAAAATTCTTGTTTCCAATTAGTGTTGGGAAGCCCTGTGCACAGGTGCTCGGGTTCTGAAATACAATGTATATGTGATACATTTAGGTATCGCACATCACTGTGATAATAATAATTCGGTTCTTAGATAAATGTACAATATTATCTGTTTACGTACCACACCCCACTAGAAATCGCACATCCTTATAAAAGGGTGCAATTATTTATTATCACAGTGATGTTCGATAGCTAAATATATCACATAAAATATATTGAAAAACTCTAGCACATGTGAACTGTTTGCCTGGATGAAGGCACAGAATTGACGGGTGAAAGGTCAACTCTAGAAATGCATTGTTTTGGTCCAAATCTGATACTAATTGGGTTAGTCCCTATTCCACCTGTGGGAGAAAGCGTTTGTGACACACAGCAGGCAGGTATCTGCAAGAACAGGCGAATCAAGCATGGTTAACTTTACGGTGCCATTTAAAAACGAATCCTGCAAAGATATGTTTAACAGTTTCTTTCGTTTATGCGGCTGTCATGCCGTAAAGAACACGCCTACAACACAAGTTTCCACATGTCGATCAATCGCACGCCAATGGGCAATACATGAATAAATACTTGTACAATGATTTGCAACATTGTATCATCAGATGTGCAATTTGGATGTATTGCCAATATCAAAAATAAATTAAATATTAATTAGATGATAATGGAAGTCAATCTGAATAATGAAATATATGTATATAAATTTAGGCAAACCATGGGTAAAGAACGCACATCGTGATATGTACTTATGATGAGAGCGCCTAACTAGTGTTTACATGCAAATTATATTTGTTACCTATAACGAGTTCAGGTATGAATTTGGCAGTCGTGAACCTTTCACTAGTATTTTAATTAGCCAAAAGAGTAAGATAACAATTACAAGTACCGATCCCCTAAGGCTTTTTTCCCCGACCCGCACCTGCCTCCTGTAGTTCTACTCCCTTAAGATCTCCTCACAGCCACCTTCACATCTATAATGACCCCTCCCCAGGGGTTACTTGGGTCAGATACGAGTGTCCAATCTTAAGCTTTAAATTCACAACTAACGAATAGGTGCAAAGAGAATAAAATGCTCATTTCGATGCTCTTATAAAAAGGCTATATTGTCAAATCATCCTTTTCTCTTATGGTATGTCCATCAATGTTAAAAATATTTTATGAAGTCCGTATAATCGATATATCGGAAGAAAAATTGTAAAATATTGTAGAATTTAAATCACTGAACCGATTTAAATATAGGTCTCTGACCAGGCGTGTTAAACTTGTGACGTCACGCGGTCAAAGGCCACATGTAGCGTGATCGATAAGCACAAGTGAGTTTCTACACTAGTAGCAGTATAGCAAGAAAACGATTTGCGTAAAACAATGTCAAGTTAATTGCTACACAATGTACTGGCAAATAAGTAATATAAATATCACATAATGTAACGTTCAAGTTGACATGTTGTTTCCACATGAAAATTAATTTACGTCTTACCCAAGTTCTTTCACAACATGTCTGTCATTTCTGTTCCTCAAAAATTGTACTGATTTATGTATATGCTTATTGTATTAATTGTATGTCTATGCACTGTAAAGCGCTTTAGAGTGGCTTCTGTTAACTAGATAGGGCGCTATATCAAATGTTGTATATTATTATTATTTGAAAAACACAGCTTCCGTTAGATTTAAAGAGAAGAATTAAGGAACATAAAATAAAATGATAACAATATTGCTTGTAATTATGCAGTTCAAAAGATCACTCTCATCTTGGCTTGGACACTAAAATATTGCATTAATATATTTTATAAAACAGGTGGTAACGGACAGTTACTTGATTCCGCAGGTGCAGATTTCCATACAACAGTTTCTTTACTATCTGAACCAATTTCGGGCACTTGGATACTAAAAATTATTTGAGAAATGCCAGTATCTTTATATGTATGAACCTCAATGTGTAATTTGAGAAAAATATGTCTAAGACTTCTTAAGAAATAGCGAGAAACCACTTAATCGTTAAAACCCACGACGGCCGGTAGGCAGCCCTTTACTTTTTTTTCAATCAGATTCGAAATAAAACGTGCAAAGCAATTGATCAGAGAGACCCGTCCAATATTTCTTCTGAAATAGCGATAACAAGAAATATCTCTGGACTACAGACAGACAGGCGACTGACAATTTCAACAGAAAATAACCTTATTTTCGTATTTTATTCGACCATTCAATGAATACTATTTGAGATGTTTGATAGCCCTGAAAAGTTAACTTTTGAATTAATTACATAGGTACAATTTGATATGAAATATACATGTATAATCCGTATAGGTGGAAACTCTGTTTGATACTCATACACCAACACAAGGATAAATTGCATAAATGAAACCAGCGTACATATATCAAGAGGCTGTGTATTACATTACATACACTCAGCTATATATACTAGCCAGCTTTTTCAAATAAGGTTTTTACTTGCAAAGTATGATAATTGAGCTCTGAAAATACACGTTAAAATGGCGGCTGTGATGTGCGATATTTCATGACACCAGAGACGTATTATACGTCTGATGACACCGCCACTCCTTTCTCGTTCATTAAATTATTTCAAAAACGTATTCAGATATTACATAATATTTCTAACCAGCTTCTTTATATGAGCCATATATCCAGGATATGTGACATGTTGACACAAACTAACGAATATATGATCGAATTATCACAGGTAACTCACTGACCAGACAATCGTCACCAGGATCGATATAAGCTGTAAAACAAACACTCATAGTTCAGGTTCCGCGTGATTGCGCAGACGCAACCCAAGTTCACTGCCTGAACAATACAATCATGCGGGATCTGCGTGAGTTGCCAATCTGTATTATACGTCTCTGTCAATAACAACTTGATAACACGTTTCACTTCCGAGTGTTAATCACATGCAATATTATAGGATCTATTGTGTAACGTTCGTAGATGTGGAAGAACCCACTCCCGTGGCATTATAAAACAATCGGTAATTGAAAAAATATAACGAAACATGCTTGTTACGATCTTAGGTTTATTCATACATAATTTTATACATATATACTTCAACGGAACGGAGTTTTGAACACCACGTCCTTAAGCAACGGGGACAGATAACATACGGAAATCTTACTGTTAAACATGATTCATACAAACACACATTTATTTTTGCCAACAGAGAAAACAAATAACAAACACGTCTATGTCTGATCTTTTCCCCGTACACGTGTAACGATACCGTGGTAGCGAACCGTCGTATAGCGCTCCAGCACAGGTAGAACATACTTGTGCGGTGATGCGTGAAGTCCCCTGCTGTGTACACTGTTCCGCGGAAGCGGGCTGTCGTAGCGCTCCATGACAGGTAAGAGCTACTTGTGCGGTGAGGTGTGAAGTCCCCCCGCTGTGCCCCTAGTCGATCGTCAGTCTAATTGGTGAGTTAGATAACAAGGCTGTCAGGGAAATTTAATTGACGACCTTCTAATTTCCTCAGGATTTGTCCGGATATAATTGACGCACGTCTAATTTCCTAACGCACAACTAATATTACGGCGACAGTTTGAATATAAAATTCGTTGTTCTAATATAAAAAAAGATGTCTTGAAATAAATCACGTTGTCGGAATATACTCGTCAAACGTCTAAAAATCCGGATATCGGCAAGCAGAATAGTTGTAACAGGGTTACCAGTGCAAGAGCCAGGGTCAAAGTCAGTGATCCACTTTGTCTTTGAACTTTGGACACAAATGACCCTGATATTCAGTCAGTTGACTTATTCTTTAATTCCAACCAACTTTGCTTCATAATATCATAACAAAATGTTCATTAGTAATTGGACCCCGTAACCTGGACCTAAGGTCAGTTGACTCCTTGTCAAATTCTGACCAACTTTGCTTCATAATGTCATAACAAAATGTTCATCAGTAAAAAGATACAAAATTTGAACTTGACCTTGACCCAGTGACCTTGTCCTTTGGTCAAATGACTCCTTGTTTTATTCCCACAAACATTGCTTCAAAGTGTCATAATGAAATGTTCACCAGTGAAAAAATACTAAATTTGACCTTGACCTTTCACCCAGTGACCTTGACTTTTAGTCAGTTGATTCTCCGTTAAATTCCGACCAACTTTGCTCCATAATGTATATAAAATTTGACCTTGACCTTTGACCCAGTGACCTTGACCTTTGACCTCGACAAATCGGTCAATAAATACCAAAGTTATCAGCCAGGAACAAATGTGGACGGACAGACAGACAGACAGACGGACAAACTGACAGAGTGATTATTATAGGGCACCCATATCTCGGATACGGGGCCCTAATTATAAAACAGATATAATCAACTATGAACAGTACGTATTCAGATTAGGTGACACGGGAATATCTAAATAAGATAATCCACTCGACAGTATCAAACATGTGATAAGCCTACCTGTGACAGAAGTATATCCAGTATAGGTCCCTGGAGCTGGCTGTTCCGACACAAAACTCTGTAGATCCCCTTCAAAGGAAATGATTTAGCATTTACACAGAGCAGATACAACTTAATACAAATACAGAAATCATATTACACACTATAGTGATAAACCTGTATATTTGTGTCCAAAACATTGATTCTATTTTCTGTCCACAAGTACTTTGGGTTTCTGTATACAAAGGCAGATATTTCCCAGACTTACAGTGCTAGTTAACGTAAAGTCTGATGTTAAAATCCAGTCTGCCATCAGGAGGTAATGAAGTATTTGTTGGAGGGATAAAGCCTGAGCTTAATCCTCATTTTAATCTTTTTTGTAGGAATGCTATGAAGTACCTCGTAGAAGACGAGTCGGACATCGGCCTGCTGAGTCAGGACACGCCGTAGATTTCCCATGATCTCCAGACACAGAGCCTCGTTGCTGGATGGATTGTAACGAGCATGCACATCAACTTGGATCTGTTTAAACAAATAAAGATATTTTTTAATACAGAAGGTACTTTTCATGTTATATAGCCTTTTTAATACAGTCTAAAATCACAAATTAAGTGCAAAATGTATGTAATTAGGGACCATCAGCTTAGAGTAAAACCTGTTTAAAGAGACTACGTTTATTAACTGACAGAAATAGAGGTCGATAAACATATATGATGATGTTATTCCCTTGTTTGTGAGAGGGAAAACATATGACTTGCATGTATAGCTATAGTTCTCCTAAAACAACAGAATAACTCTTGTCATTAGCTGTGACCACTCTCCCATCCTTGACTCTTAAGAGGGAATATTTATAGTTACCTGGCTTGATGAGACTGACTGACTGGCCTGACTGGGCTGTAATCCTCCAAGGACTCGAAAATGCTTTAGGATCATTAGAAATCCATTTACACCAATCTTTCTCGAATCCAGCTGCCTGACAAAAGACTTTTTGCTTTAGAGAAAAATCTTTTAAAGGTTTTTAACATATTTGACCCCTGTGACCTTGAATATATGTCAAGGTCATTCATTTGAACAAACTTGATAGCTCTTCATCCCAGCATGTTACTGGCCAAATATCATTATAATAGGCTTCTTGGTTATTATTCAGAAGTTGTTTAAAAATGTTTTTAACATATTTGACGTAGCCCTTCATCCCAGGATGCTACTGGTCAAATATCATTATCCTAGGACGTTCTGTTATCGAGGAGAAGTTGTTTAACGGTTTTAAACATAGTTGGCCCTGGTGACCTTTAATATATGTCAAGGTCATTTGTTTGAACAAACTTGGTAGCCCTTCATCCCAGCATGTTACTGGCCAAATATCATTATCCTAGGCTTCTTGGTTATTCTTCAGAAGTTGTTTAAAGGCTTTAAACAGATTTGACCCCTGTGACCTTGAATATAAGTCAAGGAAATGCAATTGAACAAACTTGGAAGCCCTTTATCCCAGCATGCTACTGGCCAAATATCATTATCCTAGGCCTCTTGGTTATTCTTCAGAAGTTGTTTAAAAATGTTTTTAACATATTTGACGTAGCCCTTCATCCCAGGATGCTACTGGTCAAATATCATTATCCTAGGACGTTCTGTTATCGAGGAGAAGTTGTTTAACGGTTTTAAACATAGTTGACCCTGGTGGCCTTTAATATATGTCAAGGTCATTTGTTTGAACAAACTTGGTAGCCCTTCATCCCAGCATGTTACTGGCCAAATATCATTATCCTATGCCTCTTGATTATACTTCAGAAGTTGTTTAAAGGCTTTAAACATATTTGACCCCTGTGACCTTGAAGATATGTCAAGGTCATTCATTTGAACAAACTTGATAGCTCTTCATCCCAGCATGTTACTGGCCAAATATCATTATCCTAGGCCTCTTGGTTATTCTTCAGAAGTTGTTTAAAGGCTTTAAACATATTTGACCCATGTGACCTTGGATATAAGTAAAGGTCATTCATTTGAACAAACTTGGTAGCCCTTCATCCCAGCATGTTACTGGCCAAATATCATTATCCTAGGCCACTTGGTTATTCTTCAGAAGTTATTTAAAAATGTTTTTAACATATTTGACGTAGCCCTTCATCCCAGCATGCTACTGGTCAAATATCATTATCCTAGGACGTTCTGTTATCGAGGAGAAGTTGTTTAACGGTTTTAAACATAGTTGACCCTGGTGACCTTTAATATATGTCAAGGTCATTTGTTTGAACAAACTTGGTAGCCCTTTATTCCAGCATGTTACTTGCCAAATAACATTATCCTAGGCTTCTTGGTTATTCAGAAGATGTTTAGAGGTTTTTAAAAATATATGACCCCTGTGACCTTGAATATGTCAAGGTCATTCAATTGAACAAACTTGGAAGCCCTTTATCCCAGCATGCTACTGGCCAAATATCATTATCCTAGGCCACTTGATTCTTCAGAGGAAGGTGTTTAAATGTTTTAAACAAATTTGACCCCTGTGACCTTGAATATATGTCAAGGTCATTCAATTGAACAACTTAGAGCCCTTCATCCCAGCATGATGCTAGCTAAATATCGTCATCCCAGGCTTCTTGGTTTTTCAGAAGAAATTGTTTTAAGATTTAAAAGACAATTGACCCCTTAGACCTTGAATATTAGTGAAGGTCATTTATTTGAACAAACTTGGTAGCCCTTCATTCCAGCATGCTACTGGCCAAATATCATCACCCTGGGCATTTGGGTTATTCAGAAGAGGTTGTGTAAAGTTGTTTTATTTAAATTTGACCCCTGTGACCTTGAAAATAGGTGAAGGTCAATTAATTGAACAAACATGGTAGCCCATCATCCCAGTTTGCTTCTTGCCAAATATCATCATGTTGGGCCTTTTGGTTATCAAGAAGAAGTTGTTTAAAGTACAATATTGACGCCAGGCGACAGACGGACGAAGCACCATGGCATAAGCTCGCTTGGCCCTTTGGGCCAGATGAGCTAAAAATGTTCGTTTAAAAAAAATAATGAAACAATCTATACCCAAAATGAATAAAAGTTGACCCTTTGAAGTTTTCATTGAATACTGATTAAGAAATATGCAACTAGAACACTGACAGGTCAGTAAGGGTCTTGTGGTAATATATCCCCCATAATCATCAAGCTTGACATCTGACACTTGGACTTCAAAAAGAATCGCAAGGAAGCAAAATTTACATTTTACATGTACTATGATGCGAGTCTTGTTTCCTTCCACCTCCATAGTTGCTGGGCTAAAAGAAATGTAAATACAGGTGCAATACTCATTTGTTATCTTTAATTTGTTTAATTTCACCTTATATACCTCCTCCTTCAAGAGCAAGGGTCAAAGTCAGAGATCAACTTTGTCTTTGACCTTTGGACACAAATGACCTTGACCTTTGACCCAGTGGCCTTGCCCTTTGGTTAAATGACTCCTTGTTTAATTCCATAAAACATAGCTTCAAGGTGTCATAATGATATGTTCACCAGCAAAAAAAATACTAAATTTTACCTTGACCTTTGACCAAGTGACCTTGACCTTAGGTCATTTGACTCTTTGTTAAATTCCGACCAACTTTGCTTCATAAAGTCATAACAAAATGTTCATCAGGGAAAAGATACAAAATTTGACCTTGGCCTTTGACCCAGTGACCTTGACCTTTGACCAACTGATTCCTTGTTTAATTCTGAGCAATATTGCTTCAGTGTCATACCAAAATTTTCACCAGTGAAAAGATACAAAATTTAACCTTGACCTTTGACCCAATGTCCTTGACATTTGGTCAGGTTGACCCCTTGTTTAATTCTGATCAACTTTGCTTCATCATGTTATAACAAAATGTTCATTAGTGAAAAGATGCAAAATTTGACCTTGACCTTTGAATCTAATGACCTTAATCTTTGACCTCAACTTTTTACCTCAGTGTCTCTTTGTTTAATTCCGAACAACTTTGCTTCATGTCATAAAATGCTCATTAGTGAAAAGCTACAAAATTTGACCTTGACCCCTGATCCGTTGACCTTGACCTTTGATCAGTTGACTCCTTTAATTCTGAGCAACATTGCTTCAAAGTGTCATACAAAAATGTTCACCAGTGAAAAGACACAAAATTTAACCTTGACCTTTGACCCAATGACCTTGACATTTGGTTAGTTGACTCCTTGTTGATTCTGATCAACTTTGCTTCATCATGTCATACCAAAATGTTCATCAGTGAAAATATTTAAAATTTGACCTTGACCTTTGAACCTAAAGACTTTGACCTTTTTACCCCAATGTGTATTTTTGTGAACTGAACATCTTGACCAAGTTTCATGTACATCGGTCAATAAATACCAAAGTTATCAGCCAGGAACAAAATTTGTGGACGGACAGACAGACAGACACAGACAGAGTGATTACTATAGGGCACCTGTATCTCCGATACGGGGCCCTAAAAATGTATTCAAGCATATACATAATAACAATATAAATACTTAGCGCTCTACAAACTTAATCCTTGTTTAAACTATTGTTTAATTAGTTTGGACCATCATTACCAGCTTGGTTTGATTCACACAGGTTTTCAAAGTACACAGGGTGCTTTGTCACAGGTCACTAACTTATATTCCCTACCTTGAAAACATGGCTTTCCTCAGCACTAAGATGAGAGCATCCTTTAGCGACATGCTGAACTTCAGCAGTGGCTGAATGGCTTTGAGCAGTCCTTCGGCTGAGGTAGGTGTGAGGAAAGACAGATAATCAAACATCTCACGCACCTTGGGGGTAGACTCCAGTAGGATCTGGGGTGCTGACATCACAGTACTGGCCAGTAATTCTACACAACACAAACCTTCATTTCAGAGGTGACAAACAGAAACTTAAACAAGAGGTCTGTGGGGCCTGTACAAATATTGCTCACATATTATTAAACAGTGTTGGAAAAATATACACCTAAAGCTGAATTGTTTATCAAAGATTATAGCAGATATATTGGATTTAATATACAAATTCAACCTTGAGATTGAACAGCTCAGCACTCATATACAAGCTTATAACCTAGGCCTCATTGTCTCACTATTTGGTAGAGCACATTTGAACCCTTGTGACCCTGAATTTGGATCTAAGGAATTAACTTGGACACACTTGATAGCGCCTCAAATTGACAAGCTACAGGCCAAATATCATTACTCTAGTGTACAAAAAAAGGGACGAAATTGAAAAAATAATACCTGGATGCACAACTTCAGGTGGTAGTTATCATATGTGGAAAGTTTCATCACTTTAGAAGGAGTTGTCCGGACAAAAAGTTTCAGGATTTTTCAACAAGGGGCCATAACTTCGAAGAATTCCTTTATATGTTTCCCTTAATTTATTATTAAACCCTTTTATAAAAAATTGTTAGTAAATGCGGATAAACCTGTAGACTTGGGAAACATCTATGTGATGTGTAATTGTTAAGATTTTAACAAAGTCCAATAAAGCTGTTTTTGGACGCTAAAATATGAAAATATGGTTCAACACATTGCTTACACTCAATACAAATACTTCAACCTTATAATAGACAACAGCCTATTGATGGTGGTGGTCCAACACTACCCAAAACAAGAGGCCCATGGGCCTTAACGGTCACCTGATATATTTATACAGAGAGTTGATTTCGTTTTTACCATGAACAGAAATATTATTCAAAGTGACAAAAAACAATAAAACCACCTTATTCAAAATCAAGCATACAGATTTCAGACTAAAAAGGATTTGAAACTAGCACCTCTGATTCTAAACAAGGAAAATGAAGAAATTTTAGCACACTGACTCCCTTGAGCCCCACCCTACAGCCCTTGGGGGTAGGGCTGGCTCAAAATTTTCAAAGTATCAAACTGTCAACTCAAGGTTATAATTCCAATCAAGTTATTAACATGTAATATTCAAAGTATCATTTGCCATTATAAACCATAATA